AAAAAAAAAAAAAAAAAAAAAAAAAACGTAGCATCTGCAAGCAAACATGAAGGTTTGTGGAAAAAACGAAATGAGTACAACCTGGGGTGAAGGTCCCGCTGAGTAAATTTACTCCAGGGAACGCTTGCGCGGGCACCGACAGCTGATAACGCCGCAGCGCCCCAGAAAACCAGATCACACGCTACGTCCTGATTGTTTCCTGGGCGCAGCCCCGCGTGGCGGGACATCAATTTCGACCAACCGAACCTGGCCTGGGCAAGCGCAAATCAATCCCGCGCCTCCGAAGCAACCACGCGCGGAAGGCCGCGCAAGAAAACCGCGCACAAAGCGCGTCGTGGCCGCAAGAACGCGCCGCTCGGGTCGGCGCGCAGAAACGTAACGCACACGGGAACGGCATGCGCCATTTCCAAAGGGTACACCTTCACCCCAGGTTGCACTCGCAGCTGGGGTTGAACGTTGTTGGCTCTCTGGCGTAATTGAAAATGCGCAACGCAGGGCTACCTGTTGCAGGACATCCTGGAACCGTCATTTTTGCCGATCCTCCTTTGCCAGGAAGGCCCGCTCTCCCGCGCCAAGACGGCGCCCGCCCTCCTGTGCAACGCAACAGAGATAGAGAAATGAGAAGGGGGGATAATAAGGATGAGGGGCGGTGAGATGAGCAGAAAGAGCGAGGGCGAACGAGGAAATCAATGGGGCAACGAAGGAAGAAATTGCATGCGTTACAACGATTTTGTTTGACGGAAGAAGGCTGCCGTATACCTGGCAAACCGCTTGAAACCACCCTGCGCGCATGAGTCCCCGTTCGCTCCACGCGCTTGAGTTCCTGTACGTGGCACGCAAAATAATGTTTGAGATGCCTAGACGTCTCGACAGGGGCCGATCCCATTCCGCACCTGGACCCCAAGCCGAAGAAAGCATTTTTCTGATGCCTCCTACACCTCACTGCTTGGCCCTCTCATCGAAGAATGCCTGTTTCTTCTCGGCGCGCGCCGCGCTCGCTGCGATCTTCGCCTGTAATGGCAATCGATTATGATGCTGTTCTGCTATCTTCGCGCACCTGGGTAACAGATTAACGCTCGCCCCCGTGCGCGCAACGTTGTTTTGCATTCATCGTGCGTGCGTGCGCGTGCATTATTACCTAGCAGCGAAGACTGATAAGTTTCTAATGGTCTCAAAAGAAAGCATCATGACTCCCCATGGGGGTCTGGGCAGATGCCGGACGGGTGCCGGGGAGAATCCGCGGAAATCGTTTTGAAACAAACAAGTACACACTTCGTGGTCTTCGAGGTCCCAGAACTCCACTCCCAGGCCACATTCTGACTGCCCGGAGCCATCTGTTGGCCACTTCGTGGTCTTCGAGTTCCCAGAACTCCATTCCCAGGCAACAGTTTCCATGTCCGGAACCATCTGTAGGCAACGTCGTGGTCTTCGAGTTCCCAGAACTCCACTCCTGGGCATGATTCTGAATGCCCGGAGCCAACTGTAGGCCACTTCGTGCTCTTCGAGTTCCCAGAACTCCATTCCTGGGCATGATTTTGAATGCCCGGAGCCAACTGTAGGCCACCTCGGGCCACATTTTGAATGCTGAGGCAGGCTGAGGCTGAGGCTGAGGCAAGCTGAGGCTGAGGCAGGCTGAGGCTGAGGCTGAAGCCGAGGCCGAAGGCAGACTGAGGCTGAGGCTGAAGCAGGCTGAGGCTGAGGCTGAGGCAGGCTGAGGCTGAAGCAGCCCTGAGGCTGAGGCTGAGGCCGAGGCTGAGGCAGGCTGATGCTGAGGCAGGCTGAGGCTGAGGCCGAGGCTGAAGGCAGACTGAGGCTGAGGCTGAAGGCAGACTGAGGCTGAGGCTGAAGCAGGCTGAGGCTGAGGCTGAGGCAGGCTGAGGCTGAGGCTGAGGCAGGCTGAAGCTGAGGCAGGCTGAGGCTGAGGCTGAGGCTGATGCAGGCTGAGGCTGAGGCAGGCTCAGGCCGAGGCCGAGGCCGACTGCAGATTGAGGCTGAGGCTGAAGCAGGCTGAGGCTGAGGCAGAGACAGGCTGATGCAGGCTGAGGCTGCGGCAGGCTGAGGCTGAGGCCGAGGCCGAAGGCTGGCTGAGGCTGAGGCTGAAGCAGGCTGTGGCTGAGGCAGGCTGAGGCTGAGGCTGAGGCA